TGCGTTGTCATGACGACAGCTCGATTTCTATGTGGTCTATGGAGCTTGTCTCTGAATCTGACAGTGGACCGTGATTTGTGCAAATCTGTCAGCCGATCGCCGTGTCTTCGCACCGTGTACATGAAACGTTTGTGTATATGATTATTCCCTTCTGAGAGGTATTTGTCTAAAAGTAAGTATGATGGTTTTGTGCCAGAAGTAGGGGACCCGTTGAATGAATTAATTTGGTCCTAAGTGAACTATTTGAGATGTGGAGCAGAGAACTAGAGTTCCGAACCCGATGACAAAGTTTTTTACACTGGCTGGTGCACCTGAAAAAACCACAGCACACCAATCTAAGCTACCACGAGGCACTCGGGTAGCTCGATTCGAATACGCGCAGAGTGAAGATTAACTTATTAGACAAAAAATTATTTATTCAGAAAAGTCGTCGCGTTTTACTGATGAATAATTCTCCAGTTTCAGCTGAGTTTTCCACAACAGCTGAAACGCAAACGTATTTTCTCTATAATATATTGGGCAAACAACGTTGAAAACACCTCGGAAGTGAGGGATTATTCAAAATCGGCCAACCACCTATGAATCTTCAATAGCTGCATTGGAACCAATTTCAATAAACTCTTCAATTCAACTATTCCCTGGGGGTTGGTACCCGCACCACCAACTTCCTTCTTCTTTTCACAGAGATGACTGATGGAGGCTTCCTCGGTGTTTCAAATGAAATCAAAACGCCGGTGGGTTCGAAAAATCATTTCTACAACCGACCAACGGAGATGAACTGAAAGTAACGCAACATAGAATCTTGTTGAGGTTTAGAGTTCTTAATTTATTCATACCTAGCGGTAAAATTAAAAGTCACTTCCTGAAGTTGAAGAACTCGTTGGGCTAGTCTGGTTGGTCGTATTTACTGTGAAGCCGTGTAGGCCTATTGATAAATTGACCTGAATAACGAGACAAAATTAGGAACAGAAAGTGAATCTCTTCAAGAAGTAGGCCTGTTATTGGGCGTCCCAATATTGACTCAATCGTGACTAATGAGCCCAACTGATATCGCTTCTTAAAAGTACTGCCTACGAATTTCACGAGCGAGTCAAGCTTAGCTACAAAATTAATAAATAGAACGAGGTAAGGATCACTTGTCCAAACAGCAACACAATTCGGCAGGCTGTCCAGTCACTGAATTTCATACGGGCTGATAACCTTTGTGGTGTCACTGCGCATGAAGTGTCACTCCGCGGATCACCGATTGATATAGATCGAAAATAATTCCATAAGAACATGGTGTCCCTTAACCCTTATCTGCGCATAGCATTTGCTCTAGCGGCCCACACTACTCACGAACTACTCAAGCATACGACATATCCCGTGAATCAAAATGAACCTGAAGGTAAGGAAAACTTTCATTGAGCCTCAAAGTCAAATTTACATATCCGCGAAAAAAATACTATGGAAAGTGCTGAAACACTTAAATTAAAAAAACGCCTTGGAGCGTTTTAAGATAAGAGCGATCAAAACCAACAAACCCATCTTTCCGAATTCCAATCAGTTATTTTCCTTCTTGAGTTTAGGTTTGTACTTGTATCACCAAATTTATTCTACGGTCAAGAGTAGTTCGACTGTAAATGAACAATTTCTTCAACGGAACTCTAAAAAGGTTAAGACCCCTGTGGTACAGTTGCGTTTTCTCTCTACAACCGCTATAAAGTGAACGACCATTCCCCTAGCTTCAATGAAAGCCGGTACATTGAGAAAAAATTTAGCTGAAGCTGTTCTCAACAGTAACGCACTTGCACGCCACTTAGCTGATTTCCGATAGTAATTAGCACATCCGAAATCCAGAGAACGTACTGGAAGCTTATTTGCGCTTTTTGCTGAAATGAAAGCTGCGGCACGCTGATCGCAGTACCATTCCCTCGTTCCGCCCCATCACCGTACTCAGACTGGTCAGCGACGTAGTGCCTCAATAGGGGACAGCCATCGGGAAAGCTCAGATACCTGACGTTGCGCGGTACCCATCCTGCAATCGTTTAATACACGTCAAAACATCTACCGGTGAAAGGAGGAAAATCCACCAGTATTAATGCACTCAGCTTAGTTCTACATAATATGATAAAGGACAAAGATAAGAAAAACGAAATTTTCGGAGTAAAACAGATCAGCTGTTGACCTTTTAACAGCTTATGGACAATTTAAGTCAACAGCCACCACATATGAACTACGTTTAGGGACAAATCCTTGTCATAAAGCCGTGTTGTTTCCAAAAACCTGATAATTTCAATAAATGCTAGAGCTACTGTTTTAAGAATTATCTGTTACCTTTTAGACCAAGACATGTGCTTGTTGCTATCCAAAAGTGGATTGCTGTTGTCCATCCAGCTGATTGAATGGCACTGGAACGAAGCTGCAGTTAGTGGACGCCTCAAGTGCTTCACCGCAAATATTATGATATTTGAACTTTATGAAACACCAACGAATAGCTCTGAGATCTATGTGCCCCATTCCATGTTTGAAATCTGCGGTCTTCTGAGGAATTGTCATGACCGACAGCGATCGCGGCATGCTAAAAATAATTAGCATTTAGCTTCCATATTTATACTCATGATATCCGTACTTAACGGAGGTCTGCTCTTCAGAAAGTGTCTGATTTCAGTCCGCACATCCAGTAAATTCTGTATCTGGTATACAGTCTTCGACAGCTGTTGTGGAGAGCTTCATTCGAAAAAGGAAAGATCACTTTCTTAGTTTGATTTCTGGCTGTTTTCCAAAAGCATGTTGACTGACCGAGCAAACAGAGGGGGATTTTTCTTGTTCAATGATATCCTGCTTGAACGACTCCAACGTGGTTATTTTTGGTACCACGGCTAGTGGCAGACCCGAGCTTCATCCGGGACCACCAGTTAGACTGCCAAAGAGAGCTGTTCGCCTTTTTACCTGTGGCGTGTCCATCATTTCTGCGTTGGCCTGATGGAAGCAGTAGGTCATCATACGGACTGTTCACACACAAGATTTAATCTACCGAATCCTGTGACCGTTTACCTCCTTGCTACAAAGTGCCTAAGTAGATCTAACATAACCCGATTTGCAACTTGACTGATGCATCACATTCTAGCACCGTACACTGAGTTCAGCTAAGTGCCACCGAAATGGGTTATCGATGGAAGCCAGGTGAGTACTGAGAAAACATTGTAAAGCAGTTCAACACTAGGAGGAAAAAGCCCGGGTTCGTCAAGCGAACAAAGTATGTAACCGCGATTCCCCAAGATCCACGGTGGTATAGTTAGAACGAGTTTGATGGGCAGTAACTTCAGCATCTCACCAAACCGTGAACAAGAAGTACAGCAGTCTGGGCGTCAGCAACAGTTGAGACGACAAAGTTAGCTGTAACGCAATTACGGCCAGATAGTCGTGATTTCAAGGCAGTAAGAGTCGGCCCGATTGTTTAATCCAGCAAAACTGTTTTACCCTCGAGGGTTTTATGGATGAATGGCTTGAGTGCACCCATGACTAGATCACTTGGTAGCCCAAGCAAAACAGATGAGAAATGGATAAAGCAAGTTCACGTTCCGCTACCTCGCCAAATAGAGTTTGGACTCCAAAGTGGTGTGTAGTCATGAAACTTCTTGAAAAGCAGAAACGTTTTAGTGAGCGGACCAGATTGGACTAGAGTGACATTAAACAGCACAGAAAAACTCCTCACTTCATTCAAGACCGTAAAATCACTAGATGCCGAGCATGCTAAAAATACTACCTTACCGTTTGTTGTGCCTGATGTGCTTAATTAAAACCACCTCGGGAAGCAAATGGTGGGTGAATAATTGGCGCTACATGCAGATGCGCTCTCCCTGAAACCGTCAGGGTCACTAAATTTTAGGACTCTTTACCCTTATGCCTTGGATAGTGCGTTTTTCAGGCTTCCCATGTGGACGCACCTATCAACTGACTATAGCCTTCGACCGTTAGGGTAAAGAGCTTACCCCATTTCCGCATTTTGGCGTCCCTTAACAGTCTATTTCTATATTCAGTAGGCACATTACTGGCCCAGGCGGCCAGGCCGATTGCAACCAAAAATATCGGGGACGATAACACGAAAGGAATAAATGCCGTTTTTTTCGGAACTGAAGAGACGCCTACCTACCGACACTCGGCAGAAACTTTAAAAGGCATCTCACAATCAATGTACAAGGCGTAGCAGATAGCTGTGCGCATGCCAACTAACTGAAGGTCGTCCGTCGCTGGACATGTTATCATTTAATGCATGGATTGCAAGAAGGCAACTGCTATTATATTTCAGACACAACAATGTCTACGGTGTCCACTCCATGCAGCGACCAATGTCGGATTATTCCGTCAACACATGTTGTCCAGAGGCTTCGTATGTGCTACAAACGGTTGATACGCAATCTGAAAGCGACGATTGGTTGGGCCTGGACTGCGTGACAATTGCGGCTTTTGGCTTACCTACTGAAAATTTCACGAGTAGTATAATTTTAATACTGAAAAACGCGGCAGCCCGAGCCACTTGGTTCAACGAAACGACTGCTGGAAGACTGCAATATTGTAATTTAGAGAAAGATCAAATGCCTATCAAAAAGCTGCACGGACTGGAAACAGGCTCCCAATATGGAAAAATAGGAAGGTCAAGTTCGCGTAGATGCAGGAAATTCTCTTCGTTTTTCGAAGGTGGGAATCACCACGTGTCTGCCGGAATAATTACAAATAACTACGCAGTTTATGAGGCTAGAATAGCAAACCTACAGTAGCTGATATTAAACAATCCACAATCTTCGATCTAGAAGCGTTCACCTTCCGAATTATTACGAATTTAATTAGGATGTGGCTCCTACTGTCATGTCGAACCGGTTTGAGGGCCCTGCGTGCTATGGGTGCCCCAGGGTAACCTGAGTGATAACATGGCCATTGTCAAAGTTGTAAACACATCATGCACAATATATGGTTGAATTCTATAGGTATTATTTTATATCCAATTCCACAATGTGCACAGACATAAAACCAAAGTAGGAGTTCAGCACCTGAACGTCACATATACAGCACCCCAGAAAATATAATAAATGCACCATGAAACGTTCAGTTCAAGAATCGAATGACCCCCAATTCAGCATAGAACTGAATACATTGAAGAAGTGAAATTGAACGTACACGCTGCAGAAAAATGAATATTGTCTTATGCTGTGTTTCCAACTTAAGGTTTATATGACGCTGGCGATAGGGAAATCAAACACGATGGATTCAACTGGAATTCTGAGTAAGGACTACTGATTGAACTGGTTGTTCTTATTTCGCTCACATCTCGATAAACTTGGACAGATTGACATTTGTTCAGACTTCAGATGATTCTTGATCGCAGGGCAAAACATCTAGGCACACAAACCTCATGGAGAGAGTTTGGTGTGCCACTAATCAGTTAAGGAACGGTGAGCTCTCTTGGCAGCATTCAACGAATAGCCTAAATGAAAGCCATCCAGTGGTTTGCAAATAGAGGTATGAAAACACACCAGCTGAAATGAAGCACAATACTGGGTACTTGATTACCAGTGATGAGAAAAAATATTGGAAATACACAAGATTTGATTCAGAATGATAGAAGACAACGACCGTATAAATGACAGAACAATGTATAAGACGTCGTACAAAAGGAGCTGCATGGCTGGCACCACCAGACGCGCATAGTGCATTGGGAAGCAGATGGGAGTAAATGCATTGATGACGTGTGAAATTCTAGGATGTCACGACTTTCCGTTTCTTCCCATTGCCTGAACCGTCCACACCTCCTTCGACCGATGCGGCAGCCGCAGGCGTAGTAGCCTTGCGCTTCTGTCCCCCACCTTGAGCACCGCCACCAACATTAGCGCCAGTTTGGCCAGCTTGTCCGCGAGGTTGTTTGGAACGATCGTCTATATCACATATTTCTCGTTCAATCAGAGTTATGAGTGTGCTGCATCGCCTTTGGAGCTCCTGAAGAGAAAGTACAAGTGAAGGAAATGCGACGAAGCAGACTACCGTGATTAGTCGGAACTGTTAATATATATATATATATATATATATATATATATATATATATATATATGCAGAAAATCAACTTCGATCAAGTAATAAATATAAGTATCTCGATAAATCAGAGATAATGTATTGGTCAACTGCCACACCTCTACAGCCGAGTGCAATCATACAACAGGGGATTAACTTTCGGTTCGTAGTCATGTGGATCGAAGTGCGCAAACCAGGTTGGAAACGAGATAGTGAAGACCGACATGGGTTCGAATAGCTTCAAACGTATGTTGGACCCATCCGAGTATGAACCAAGATCTCGTGAAGTACACGACTCCGCACAAAAGTTCGACACACCTTCAAGTATATGCCAATGACTGACGGACTATACATATTGCCCCGAAGAATTGAGGACTTAGGCGCGCTTTGCTATCAGTCCTCTGAAAACTTAACAGTGTATATCAGACCAAACCCAAGTACAGTGTGAATGGTTTCCTCACTTAACCGTTTGTTGAAAAGCTCCATGGTGAATAGACAATATGTAACCTGTAAAAACGTTGAGTCTTTTTTCAACCGTTGTGGACATGCACGGAAACATCGGACCGAAGGCTACATCATTTAAAGAGATAAAAACAAGGTAAGGACGCCTCATACAAACTTATTCCGTAGGGCTCTACAAAAGCAACTGGAGATGCGGAGAATGGCCGTGCAAATTAAAAGCTGCTCATCAGATTCTAGTCCGGGAGATGACTCGCAACAAAGACGTCCATAACTGTCGTGTAGCAGGAACAAACAGCTGTAAAACAACCTTTGTTGCTCATGTCTAGGTAGCTCTGTTTTGACCATAAAGCTCATACACATAACTGAATGAAGCAGCGATTAAAAGCCTCTGTCAGTTCCTGGTTCGACAACGGACCCGTACACAAAGTGATACATTGGAACTATTCACTGAAATGGTTTGTGCTGGCCATGCAAAGCTTACCTGATAGAAGGCAAACGACAGGCACCAACCGGTTACCGGTTAAATCTTAGATAAATAAAAATTAAGCAGGACGAAATAATTGCTGAGAAGTGTACACTGTCAAAGAAACCGTTATCTTCGACGGGAATGAAAGGCCAGTCGGGTAGATAACCCGAGACCACTCAGAATGGGGAAACCAGAGGATCAAAACAGGTACGCATAAGTGTAGCACATCGGTGGAGCTCAAAGGACCAGTGAAAGAAATCAGGAGGGGGATAAACATACGACAACCCTCATGTCTTACGACAAATAGAGAGCCCCAAAACAGTGTCAACAAACTGCACGATAACATTGAGCTGGAAAAGGATGAGCTCGCTGTTATGATCGCATATCCATAAAATTCAGGAGGCATGTTCAGTTGGAATAAAACAGCTGTGTTCAGTGCAGAGAAAACATAAAATGATCATTCAGCTGCAGCAACCTTTCGGTGTCTAGTTGCCATGCCACCCGGAAGAAGCACGAGAACCGAGATCCCACCAGGGCGCCAAATCCTAGACAGGAGCAGTCAAGATGCACAACCAGGGATCCTCCGGTCAATAAGTTTGTGTCTTAACCAATGGGCTCATGCAGTAAAGGGGCGAACAACGGAGAAAGAAGGGGTGGTAAGGAGGCTGAAACCCATCTTCGAAACCTGAGTACAGACATCCAGACAATAGTCGGTTAAATTCAACATCCTTGGTATCCACCAGGACAAAGTAGGCACACAGATGCCGATTAAACGAGAACTAATCATTGTCAGAATATATTCTGTCTTACCATTGCAGTTCGCGAACGAAGGAACCAATCGAATCGAAATTGTGGTGCCAGACGCACGGCTAAACGCAGATCATCGTACACTCATTCAGCTCAACCTTTCGGTGTCTAGTTGCCATGCCACCCGGAAGAAGCACGAGAACCGAGATCCCACCAGGGCGCCAAATCCTAGACAGGAGCAGTCAAGATGCACAACCAGGGATCCTCCGGTCAATAAGTTTGTGTCTTAACCAATGGGCTCATGCAGTAAAGGGGCGAACAACGGAGAAAGAAGGGGTGGTAAGGAGGCTGAAACCCATCTTCGAAACCTGAGTACAGACATCCAGACAATAGTCGGTTAAATTCAACATCCTTGGTATCCACCAGGACAAAGTAGGCACACAGATGCCGATTAAACGAGAACTAATCATTGTCAGAATATATTCTGTCTTACCATTGCAGTTCGCGAACGAAGGAACCAATCGAATCGAAATTGTGGTGCCAGACGCACGGCTAAACGCAGATCATCGTACACGTTGTCCCGATCGAAACCTAGTTTATGCAGCATGCAGATAAGGAAGCGATCTTCCTCCTCCACATAGTTTTTGCCTTTGTTCGTCCCGTACTGGATTCGAAGCTGATGAAAGGGTGCTCTGTAGCGTGCCATCTTCAGATCCAAAGCTCTTTTGACGGCAGCCCGCCGCTGGATTTTAGCCTCTCCTCTTTCAATCTGACAGCAGGGAGATGAGTAAGATGACCCAATTAGCAACGCAGTCAAACAAAGTAAAGTAGACGTGCAGGAAACGAAACATGGAGGTTATTTCAAGAATAGTCTCCCATAGATAACCCACATAGTGTAAGCAAGAAAATTCCTTGTAGGCGAAGGATGATTTCCGAACCGATAAGGTGATCACTAATTAACAGCACCGATAGCCTCGTACGACCACAACTCTTTCCATAGGTGAAAGATGTCTAACGACACCTGTGCTAAAAAAATTCAGACCTGACGCGATCGTAAAGATGTAAACTGTGTACGGTAGTCTCAGGCACCTTACTAGTAGCCTTACATAAAATTACGCTTGCCGAATTCGAGTACAAAAACATTTTTAAAAACCGCCTCTAGTCAGGTTTATTGTCAATAAGTCCAGAATTTGGAGCTAACGACCGCTAACACGCTATAACCCCATTCTCACACCCACAAGAGGAAACTCAAATCATCATAGAATCACTCGTGTGTAAGATGCTAGGTGAATTCGATCAAGAGCGACGATTACGTAATGGCCAGAAGTAGCTGCTGCCGTTAGTGGTCACGTCAGAACCGAACCATAGGCCAGCTAGGGTGTAGTGGATTGAAAGCGTTTTGCATATACAACACCACATGAGAAATCACTATGCCGAGTTTTAAGTCAGGTCACCGAACAGTACAAATCTAATTCGAGCATCACAGGCATTTCAACCGTTGCACAGACCAATTTTAGAGGACTTAAGATAAGAGGAGTTGTGTAGGAGGTGTCGGCTTAGTGGCTAATGAAACGGGATAACTCTCACAAAGGCGTCCTGCCCCTCGTTCGTTGTTGCACATTTGTTCACTCAGCATGGCTCTCACATTGCCAACGTCCCGTCTTTAGTACGCATTTGTTTGTGCCCTTAGTCTTTCGATACATGCATCTCTGGTACTCTTATTGCATTTTTGACGGGACTGAGAAATCAACAGTATGTATTAACTGGATACCTGACGGTCTGCCCATAACAAGACTTTTCAGGAGTTTAACCACTGATGACAGTAAACAAAGCATCAAAAGTCTAGTAGGGCACGATGACTGGGGTGAACAGGAGTGTTGAGTAAATCTGGAGCTATCTCCAAAAATGCGACGCATATTAAGGAGATCTGGAACAAACAGGTTATTGTACCTACCTGAGCCATATGCTTGTCTACATCTTGCAGCTCGTTACACCGGGTCCAGAACACACGAGCATAGCGTTTCACCTCTTCCGGTGTTTTACCCTCAACATCCATTGAGATGGCTTCTAGATCATCACGTCCATGCTTTTCGTTTGCTTTGATGAACTGCTGAAAGTCACGCTTGGACCAATTGGTGAATCCCTGAAGAACGAATCGAAATTGGGTTAGTAGCACAGTGTGATCAAAGTATGGAACTGAGGAAAACAGGTGTACACTTGTGGGGAAATACAGTAAAATCGACAGTAATGGTCACCAGACTGAACGGTTGCTGCAGGACCCTGCTCACGTCACCTCATGATAGATGGGAATCAACAACAATCGACTAGAATGTACACTTTATTATAAAACTTTAAGTACTTTAAGTCGTCTGTAGAACCTGTCCCAGTAGAGCATTCTAATAAGATGTCCACATTCCTTTGAACCCTAAGATGGCCAGGAAACGCGAACACCAGGACGGCAACGGATTTCCAGTTTTATCTCTATTGGGAATCATCAGCATTATGACTAACTCGTACCAAGGATATAGAATAGCTCATCACTAGCCACTCGTGGCCAAACGTTCGAGTTCAAATTTGTTGACCGGAGGTAGCGGTTTCGAGACTCTAGAGTTACGTGAGATGCGAACTATTGTTGACTCCCAATAGGGATAAAACAGTTGCACAGTGCTTTTCGGAAAGCCAGCATAGACAGTTACAGGATGAAATCTCCAGCAAGACTCTTCGTGTCAGTGACAGGAGACTGTAATAGCCGAAACCTATGTACACAGCTGATGTACGGTTCACTATAAAAAAACTGTGAAATAAAATGAATCAAAACAACAGATGTGGTGATTGTAGAATGGACTGGAGAAGCCTATAGTCTGGATCACACATAATGCGAACTATGTTGACTCCCAATAGGGATAAAACAGTTGCACAGTGCTTTTCGGAAAGCCAGCATAGACAGTTACAGGATGAAATCTCCAGCAAGACTCTTCGTGTCAGTGACAGGAGACTGTAATAGCCGAAACCTATGTACACAGCTGATGTACGGTTCACTATAAAAAAACTGTGAAATAAAATGAATCAAAACAACAGATGTGGTGATTGTAGAATGGACTGGAGAAGCCTATAGTCTGGATCACACATAAGTCTCTTCAATTCCGTCAGAAATCATGATGGGATACTGTACCTCTTTTAACAACGTACTTGTGTAAGAAGATCTTCCTTCTCTGCAAGTTCCTCTTCTGTCAGTGGCTCAGCTTCATCGATACGCATCTGTTCTTCTAAACGTTCGCGTTCGGCATCTGGACCAGCATCCGGATTGCGGGGTATTTTGTATCCTATGCTCTTCCTACAAAAGGTTATGTTGCAAAAGGTCATGTTAAGGAATTGATAAACAAAAGCGGAAGGCATATAATGACCAGGTGAACAACTAAACTCATACACAAAGAACCAGTAGGAGTGAACCAACGTCAAGGATGTAAAAACCCGAAGTGTTCTGGATAGTGAACGTAGCAAACAAAGGAACAAATAAAGACCTCTCAATAAGGAGATAGTCAAAGCGAGCCAAATTATGGATCTAGCAAGTGAACCTGAAATTCAAACATCAGTTAAGAGGTTTCCGGTCTGGTTAACACAGTCGGACGTGCTGAGATGATCGAAAGGTGAAAAAAGCTTATGAAATCAGGATGCCGCCGAATCCGTCTGACCTAGCGCATCTGCTACGCTGAAGCCTAGTTGTTCATTGTATATCGCTGTTACATCGGTTTAAAAGGTTGTGTCCGAAAGGACGACGGTTTTGGGTTAGAAGTGTAACAGGTCGCAACACAACTGTACGCGTGGGATAAACCCACACTAAACAAGAAATTAAACCTTAATCAAATGAGCACCGTAGAAAATAGGCCTAGCAGCTCACGTTGCTAGGCCTACTCCCTTTTATGGAAGTAGGTTACTAACCGAGAGACGTTTCACGTCACGATGGGAAGACGCTGTTTAGGGATATTAACAAGCTCTGTAATACGAACAACAGATGGAATGCTGAGCAGCAAATTTACGAAATGGACCGAGAACTGTTACAGTTTACTGGGGCTAAAGTAGGCCGTCAACCTAGAACTACTTACAGGGCGAATGAGAGACAACACACAACGAAAAAAAAGCACACTGAGGATCTAAATAGCTCACCTGAATGCGTAAATTTCTTTATCAAGCAACTCAAACAAGCGCGGAGGGAAGAACTGGAAATCCTGGACGTTTGGCTGCTTCGGCGGTCTCGGGGGCTTGGGTGCTTTCGGTTCTGAAACACGCAGTGCTTCACGGAAGTAGGCATCAACCGCGTAGTTAGCTTTGCGTTCACGCTTTGGTGGTTCGATCCAGCCCTGTGGAAAATGCAGTATTCGGTGATTGATAACATCATGAGGAATTGGTTAATTTGAAAATCAACGTCTTTAATTGTTAACTTAAAAGTATATGCCCCACCCAACCCCAACAAGGTAGTTGAATGTTGAATACATCACAGACTCATATACTTACTGATGTTCGCACTGTCACCTATGCCATACACGGCAGATTCAACCGAGTTTCGAGTGAACCTCCAATTGTGATGCTCTTCAGTTGAGTGTGCGGTGCAAAGGGTGTCGTCTCTGGCCCATACTTAAAGCATCGTAATGCATTCCCTTATGAGCAACACTATAAACGAGACAGCCGGAAGATCCTCCGGCTCCTCTCACCAATGGCTAAAGGACAAAAGTAATCCAAGTAACAAAGCACATTAACGGGAATATGACGCCGCTCACCTCAAGGCCAGTTCGGTGCTTCTCACGATAGTCTTCTCCCTCAAAGACATAAGCAGAGTAGGGAGCAGCACCTTCTTCCGCCGTGTCGAACTTCAACGCCCGCAAATTGGACTCTCCTAAATTGGCCAACTTTTCGTTCATTTCAGCAGTACGTTGCTCGCCACGAGCAAGAATGATATCAATATCCTCATCCTTGAAGTCGCAGTCCTTACTACGGAAAATGAAATTAGCTCCGAATTTGATCATGTCCAACACATCGCCCTTTTGTAACTGATTAGCTTTTTGTTCCACCAGGCGGCCTGAAAAAGATGAGGCAGCAAACGGTAAGTCATGGAATATGAAACAACCGCCGGCACAAAGCATTGCAAAGTGAATTGCGGAAGACATCGGTTTTTAATCAGGTGATGGAAGCTAAATGAATGTAACTCCAGCATGGCTGTGGTAAAGCCGTGAACTTTTCGTGAAATGAACAAGTTATCACCAAGACCTTTAGGAAACCAATAGCCAGAAATAAATAAACTCATAGAAGGCTAGAATAGGAAGTGAGAAAGGGATGGGACTTCTGGCAAAAAATCCTTTCTATGTAGTTATACCCTCAAACACCACTGAAACAAACACATCCGAGAACATTGCTGGAGAAACAAACCATCAGCGAAATTGGCGCACTTTATGAAAACTTTACCAAACGACGAAAGTGCACAACGACGCGCAGATTTCTGGCTGAACGGTTCATCATGCTCGAAAGTGGGGTCGGTTGTGATCCGCATCTTCTAAGGTTTCTGATCATATGTAAGTAGAACCATAAAAATCAAGATCAAAGGGGCGCAAGGATCACATTGCCTTCAAAATCCATTACCACATGCTGGCTTACCTCCTACGGACCTTCTACCGAAATGCATTTGGGATGATGGAATGTGGTCGGGCGGGTGTAAAACATCCCAAAGACCCTAATTTGGCAGACCCCGTTGTTTCACTCGTGATTCTGACTCATTATCAAGCGATCGTTTACATAACACTTTACTTAGGTATGGAAATTTGGAGTCCACTGATTCACGAGAAAGTAGAAGACGGATAGGACTGATCAAGTCTGGTTGACAGGTAGTGTGTACAAATGCTACATGGTGTCCCTATGATTTTCGAATGAGGGATAACTAAGAAGGTGAACATAATGGCCCAATTAGGTGGGCGTCAAGCGATCGACCATTTTTATCATAGGCATCAAAATGGTTACACAGTATAGGCAGTGTAGACAGTTAAAATGAGGATTTTAATTACACGCGCCTCACAGCGGTAGTGACGAATAAACTAACAAAATTTCTGTACACATACTCACCCTGCTGAATGACTAGGTTATCCAGTCGTAGCTTCATTTCGGCCCGCATAATTATGCGTTCCTCTACAGTATGTTCAGTGATTAGGCGGAACACTCGGACGGTTTTTGTTTGACCAATACGATGTGCACGATCCATGGCTTGAAGATCAACCTGAGGATTCCAATCCGAATCGTAGATAATAACAACGTCTGCTGTGGCCAGGTTGATGCCCAGACCACCGGCACGAGTGGACAGCATAAAAACGAACTTGGTCGAGCCAGGACGATTGTATTCATCGATGAACACCTAAAACAAAGCGGGATAGAGAGAAAATTTAAGTTTCAGAGGAGGTGTTTTGTCATTATACCAATGACAGAAAATCGCCCGTTTAATCAGATGCTATCATGGAATCACTTTTCTTCAGGACAAGGACAAATAATGGTCACGCTTGATCAAGCGTAATTCGGAAGTTATTAACTTACCCCTTTAATGGCTGTAGTTACTCCCCGACACCGTGAAGCCAAACAGTTACTGGTGCTTCAAGATGCAAAATTCTTAGTCCACTATTGTTTCCGTTTTATATGACCGTTTTGATAACTTTTGAGATTTTTCCGGATATCGCACCCTTGGCGCCAAATTCTACTGCGATCCTGATAATTTGGTGGTTCAAATGACATCTCCATGACCAACTGCCAAGTTTGTGTTTCCATGTGTTATATCGTTTTCACAATAACGTTTGATAATATCCTAGTGCGAATGATAGTAAACGCCATATGGAGTGGTGATATTCAAGCGCCAGTCTCAAAAAGCCAAACCCATCAACTGCTCTTTGGCCTTCTGCGCATGTCACTTGCAAAAGCACCGCATACGTGTATTCAGCCCTAAATGAGGAATTTTCAAGGGCTTTAGAAATCCTTGAAGCCAACCCATCCAGTGCCAGGTATAAATTACAATTAAGTAAAGTAGACATTCTAAAAAACATTAGATTGCACCGCAAAAGAATCAACCAAAGAAAGAGGTGAATTTGTATTTGTTTTTAGCTTTACTACAACTTTGCACTGGTAGGTTTTCGAGTGCGCAAAAATCACTCACCTGGGATGGTGTAAACCTACACAGTATGTTGTGATTTCAAAATAAACGATGTCATGAAACAGATGTTTTCACCGAAGGTGGCAATGCCTAATAATAAAACAATTGCATTTACTTGTCTGTCTTCATGGCGGGTTTGTCCATCAAGACGGAAGTAATCATGACCACGCCATAGACAATAGTCCTCCAAAATATCGAGCATACGTGTCATTTGGCTGAATATGAGCACACGCGAACCCTGCTCCTTCAAGCGCGCCAGTAGCTTGTCCAACAGAAGCATTTTCCCACAATTATCTATTAGATGCTGGTCGGTTGTATAGGGTGGTCCGGGTTCAAGGCCATCGAATAGATACGGATGATTACAACACTTGCGCAACTGCATCAAAATGTTCAGCAGTCGTACACGATCCACTTTGTTCCCGGTCGAATTGACTATATCGATATCCTTCATCAAGATTTTTGTATAAAGATCTCTCTGCATTTTCGACAATCCTATGTAGATCTTGCATTCCTTCTTCGGGGGGAGTTTCTTTTCAACATCCGCTTTGATTCGACGCAAGATGAAAGGCTTGAGTATCTAGAAAGATTAACGGGTGACCACAAATCAATCACGGTAACCTACCGCATGAAGCCGTTGAATGAGATTCTGTTCCTCTTCGGTGCTAACTTTGAACATTTCATCAAACAGTTCGGATGAGGAGAAGAGGTCGGGCATCAAAAAGTTCAACAAAGACCACAGCTCGTGAAGGTTGTTTTGCAAAGGCGTCCCAGTGATCAGAAGACGGTTGTGTGAGCGAAATTGTCGAACAATCTCAGACAGTTTGGACTTTTCGTTTTTTATACGGTGGGCCTCATCAATGACCAAATACACGTAGTGGTATTTGCGCAGTATCGCCTTCTCTTTGATGCAAATTTCGTAGCTCGTCACGATCATATCCCACTCCTTGCCCAAAAGTTCATCGCGTATAATCTGTGCCTAACATGAAGATAAACAATGATGAGAAATATGCAGGGGTAAAAACACTTACGCGTTCTTCCTGACTACCAATAAGAGCGACCGCTCTTAGAGTAGGTACCCAACGTTTCACTTCATTCATCCAGTTGGTCATTGTTGACTTGGGAACAATGACAATGTGTGGTCCTGATTTATGGCGACAATGTTTCATGTAACCCAACATGGAGATTGTCTGCAACGTCTTTCCAAGACCCATTTCGTCAGCCAGGATTCCATTAATATTATCATGATATAGTTGTATCATCCAGTTCAGACCACGAATTTGATAGTCACGCATTTCGCCACCTTTGACAACTGTACGAAAGACGGATAGGAAAGTTAAGACATGATAAAAACAATGGTAGGTCACATACAAAACGGGGATGCTTCAAAACGCTGAACTGCCACACTCCCATGCTTGGTTTCCGTCAAAAGCTCCTCGTCTTCTTCCCGCTCTGTTCGCCTGTGGCGGTGGCTAAACAGGGAAGTACATTTGACGAATAAGCTCAAAAGTTACTTACTCGCCAGGGACTTGGGAGGTGGGTGAATGTACCAACAACTCGGGAGTGATCTTCAAGGGACTTGTGAGACTTTTGGCCCCAGCGGCTCCAGTATATTTTATTTTGCTGAAAACCTCAGCCCGGGCAATAAGACTATCCAACTGCTGTAGCTGCGAAAGACAGAATATAAATCAGGGCCTTAGGTGGTAAGACAATCCGGTAATCCGAATACGAACACAATCACGCACTTGTAAAGGCTTGAATACATGGTAGAAAGTTTGGAAGTGGAGTAGAAATGCAAAAAGTTTCCGTAAAAACGCTCCTTCCTTAAAGGAACAGTTAGGAACCCCAAATGCTACGAAACCGGCGTCATCGCAACCCAGCCACCCCAAATCTAGAGCATATGTAGGTAGTTATGTCATCACCACATAAAATTACTTCTGGAGAAACGGATATTTGAGCCCTCCACGCCGTCAGGCTTACCAATAGAACAAGAGACGGTGTATATACCATGGGGTGTGTGGGGTTGTGTATTATGAGCGCCACTTACATTCGATACTCATGCTATGGCAAATTTAAGTGTCCGTAAGCAGAAGACGCGAAGTACTGGCTTCCTGGTATGCGGTGTGTCCGCACATCAAACACTTTCGACAAAAAATAGTTTGTGTTAACACTAAAAGTAATGATGAATTATGTAGCCCATGTGCGTCACAACAGGTGGCCTGCCTATCGTTTGTCGACTAACTCAGTAGTTTCTGAAAATAAACAAAGTAGACGATTTCGTACCATCCAAACATGCCTGCTCTCGTAATTCATCAACCAAGGACAAGTGGACTACACCATGAGCTTTGTCATTAAATACGATGGCAGTGAACCAGTGCCATCATTCCATGCAGAATGCTACATGGCCAGAGCGAAACTGCACACGTCAAAGATCTGTATGCCGACCTTCGGGGCCTTATTTGCACATCTTGAAGCAGGTAACGCGATTGTATTACCGCTCTCGGCAGCAATACCATTTAGCCTACATAGAAGTAGTCCTAAATGATATGACTATCATCAGACCGTCTAGAGTACACAACAGACATCCTGAACTTAAAATAACGGCTGAGGCATAGTATGTTGCTAAAACAACAGTGTTCTGTCGAGACTTCGCAACTGGCGGTCGACTAAGTGCTCAGATCCGAAAGACAAGCACTGGATTTGGCCGCCTACATCAGCGTATATGGGGCAAACACAATCTACACGCGCGCACAAAGACTGCACAGTCCGGCTGTTGCACTGTCTTCAGTACCATATAGAGGCAAGACATAGACACTCTGCCAACGGCCCGACAGAATTCGACAAGAACACCAGCACAACATCCACCGGATTCCGTGGCCAAATCGAATTCAGAACACAAGAATTCTCAAACGAACGAAGATAAATACGACGCATTACAAGTAATGCTGGATAGATCACGTACAAGATGGTGCCGATGACCGCATCCCCAAAAAATACTTATCTATAGACAACTGATGAAGGGAGGTGGAACTGCAGGATGGTCTAAATTCCACTACTGCACAGCCAGATCTTTGGAAAGTCTGAAACTAAACAGAGCGACATAACGAACAGACAAGCATAAAGAGTTTCGGGGCGAGCCGCACCCCAATGCCCGAACATGCATAAGTCACTCAAACAGCCATACGATGTCTAACACGACTACAAGACTGTGAACATCTTGGAGCGCATGCTGGTGATGGGGCTTAATCGTCGATTAGAAACATAGTCACACTAGACTACCACAAGAACGCTCCTGAGATATCTAGGGCAAGTTCGCTCCAATTTATAATCAAAACCCATTGGCTCTACTGTGATACAGCGAAATGATGTCACCATTAACCTCTGACCAACGGTTTGTCCTCTGCCTATCCATTTCTACCTGAAGGGCAGAGTAACGGACATTTCCAAGAAAGTTTTGATACGGTGTACGCTGTCGCTGAAAATTAAAGAAATCCGAGTGGGGCATCGGAAATTTAGTGTAAAGAAACAGGTGCTGGTGCTCACTATTATGCCATCACGCTTAAGCATGTCCATGACTCACCGCTAATATCTATGCGTTTGCTCGCCAATCTTATTCACCCGGGTGCACGTCGGCGTTAGTGGTTCGCAAGTAGCGCCGCATCCGGGTCCGCGCTAACCGCTTGTGGTCTACCTAGTAAGCTGAGTCAGTAACCATCAGTTAGCAGACCCGTTTCAGGTCCCAGTCGGAATTATGCGGTAACGCTTTCCACATATACGCGGTGAGTTTGCATGGTATCTATCCAGAAAGCACACCCACCCCCACTGATGGACAATTAGATCATTCCCCCGACTGTACAGTATGGGAGGTGACTGTCGGGGACAATGGCTGAGCATTTGTGCTACCAAGCCAAGATGGATTATGACATGCCATGTACGGCATCAAACTCTCATTGTCAACAGATTTAACCAACCTCCAGTAGGCAGTCAAGGCAAACGTACAACAGAAATTCCAGCAATTGATGTGATAAAATGTATCGGGGTTCGATTATACTAATTGTGGTATTCATTTTCTGCTGTAACGTGCGCATCCTGCGTCATGCACGGCTTGGGATTATAAATAGAGAAATTCCTACGTAGACGATGGTCGCAAGATATCACCAGTGTGCAGTCTAATCATTCAAACTTGTAACGTATGCTATATGAGAAAGTCAGGCATGTCCAGCGGAAAGGTCAGTAAAAAAATGAAGACAACTAAGTATTACAGTGATGCCAGCGTTAAAAAAGCGGTCAAGCAAGAGTAAAAAATAGAGGAAACCACCCGCTGACCCCTTAGTAAGCACCACGGCAAAATACATCTTATACGCAGCCTAATCAGATTCAGTTGTATAACCATCAATCCGCGTTGTGTGAAGCTGATCCAATTTCACCTAGTGACAAATCGTCAACGCTAATACCATCAGCAAACGTTTTTCATTGAGTCATGCAGGAACAAGTCGAATAGTTCCAGAATATGACACAAAACTGCTTTGATTCACTATAACACAAGCGAAAATGTATGACACTAACCTGAGCCGTGGTCTGAGAGTCGCCGTCGGCCATTGCGCTGAAACTCAGATGAAAACATGGTCACGATAAAAGCAACCAGGCGAGTTAGAAAACGTATCGGACTGATATACTTTTATCCGTTACCAAGGGTTGATGCAAAAGAGCCTACGATACCCGACTACAATTAGCTTCTCTCCGGAGAGAAATCAACTGTAATCTACTTTCGTTGACAACACTGGTGCCTAAGACAGTGCTTGGGCGAGATGTTCCAAGTGGTTAGAGCGCGAATTTACTGACCGGAAGGTTCGTGGCTCGAATCCGACCTCCGCCACTCGACCTCCCCTGTCTAGGCTTGGACAACCTGGCAGTATCCTAGCCCTCGTGCTTTCTTCGGGTGGCATGGCAGTTAGGCACCGGAAGGGTGCTACAGCTGAACGCTTTCTTTCTTTCTTTCTTGGGCTTTTATACAACCGCGGGAGACGAGCGAAATGGTACCCTATAGTTATTAATGGAATTACTGTTCGTATTCGGAGCCATAAGTGTTCGGCATGAGCATGAACTGCCTGAGATAGGTTCCGGTTGTCAGAGATGCAATCGGAACCCATAAGACAAAAGCTTGGGTTGCTTGTCAGTTTAAGCCAAAGGCAACTAAATGGAGTCTAGGGTTATAACAGCATCTCAGTGACACAGCTGGCATTCGCAAATGTTGCTGAAGCCCATAACGGTTGAGCCAAAGCCGGTGCGGCGCACACGGGAGGCCATCAGTATCGATTCAACGATCTCAAAGACTGGGGATGGTGATGTAGCTTACAAGTAACCAAGTTTCAGCCACAAATAAGTTTCTTTCGGCTTTTGAGCCCTGTACGAAACCCAGTTCGCCCAGCGGCTACGTCAACCACTTTTTGTACGGAGTGTATCGTTTCCTGTGTCACGAAGAGACTGGGCCTTACTGTGGTGAGACGGTTTGCGCACCTCAGAGATCCATTGAGCTATACTGGGCGTGTCCCCACAACACCCACAGAGTCTCTCATACCATACTGTCGAACACAGTCTTCTGATCTTCCAGGGTTGGGGGTTTGGAAAATTTGACGATTTGTTCCGTAGAAATGGTGATGTGTTTGCGTTTCCCGCCAAACACTGCTGTCTTGCGGTTAAACTTTTCAGCCAAATGGTTTGTTTGAGGACCCTAATCGTCCTCCTGGCTATGTATGGGCGCCTTGATAACATGCGCCCCCACGTACAACCATGATACCTACCCATAACAATAAATTCATGCTACATAGGCCGTCACGTGGTGCCATCAGCCAGATAGACTTATTCGCTGCATACAGCACGGCAGGTAAGCAAAAACAGATTACTTCTGACGCCTCCCTTCTTCCTCTTTCGCATACTTTTTTCCCCCCCTCTCCCCACCCCATTGATAACTCTTCTCTTGTAGACCCAGCAGTTAGAACTAATGACTCTGTTCGTCCTGTATCGGTTTTGCAAGCAACATCTCCTCGTCATATGGCTTCGACATCCTCAAGCATCTGCAAATCAATAATCCAGCCTCAACACCCGGTCTATCAGGCCGCCTTCAATGTCCGCACTCTTAATGAAGCAGGACAACAAGCAGCTCTCGCTCTCACACTGGACTCGCTGGGCATGGATGGGTGCCGTGTCTCAGAAACAAGCGTGCAAGACGAAAGATGGCTAGGATAACCGCCCCATCACTCTCCACTCGCTTCCGGATACGCGTTTCTGGTGATCCAGAGGCTGCTACGGCGGGACGTGCAGGGGTTGTTATCGTCTCCGGGCGGAATCATCCTTGTTTGACTGGGTACCTGTTGATAGTTCTCTGTGCGGTTCATCTGGCAACGTTGAAGTTGTTTATCGTGTCTGCTTACGATCCATCTGGCCGTAGCCCCGAAGCTGTCAAAGATAGGTTTTGCGACGCCCTCAATGCCCTGCTGCGGCTAAATAAAAGCTCAGATGTCGTGGTTTGCAGGCTTAGCTTACCTGACACCGAGTTAGCAGGTTGACATTGGTTGGACTAGGTACATATGGACGGCGGTGAAGGATTGCTTCAGCTGTGTGCTGATTGCAGTACTAACTTCCGAAAAAGCCGAAGTCGTCTGGCCACATAGTGTCTTCCAACGGTATGCCGGCCACATACTCAAATCGACCACATCGCCATCAGTTACCGATGGCATGGATCAACAACTGACTGCCGCCTGTTTTGGAACACATTTATGGATTCCGATCACTCGTTCGTCCGGAGTCTCTTCTCCACCATTAGTTGCGAACTCATATTGGGACGAGATTGCCACCTCTACATAATTCTGGGAGTTTTGTCTGTGGCACGGCGCCACCAGGCTCATTGAAGCACTGGATATCAGACCAGACGGTGGCACTCTCTAAATCTCGGAGAAATATCCCAGCCTTATTGGATTTACAGGTTCCATCTCCCCGATCACCAGAGGGATTGGCTCGTTCAGCTTCCTTAGGGACAGCTCGCAACAACTTGTGAAGCCCCCAAAGGAACACCGATCACCATCGGGCTCCCTCAAACGGTCAGTGCCTTTACCATGCGTGGAAATAATGCACACTGGTTGCTTCGGAGGCCACTGATCCACAATATTTGTGGACGTGCTAGCACTATTGGACATAAGGTAGACGGATCCACTACGATCGCCATCAACAAATTCGCGCCAGTGAACTCCGTCAACACTGACCCAAAAAAATCAGGCTTCAACACGCCCATCGTCAGTTTCGGAGATGATGTCACAATTGGCTCTAAAAGCTCCTGTGAAAAACCGGTGTCCGACAAAGATCCCCATTCTTCCCACTCCTATCTGCTTCCCTGAACAACAGAGAAATGAGAGTAGTCCATCTGTAGCATGTTTTCGATGTCCAACTGTCATGCCACCCGAAGGAAGCACGAAGATTGGCATACTCCCAGGTTGCCCAAGCCTAGACAGGGAAAGTCGAGTTGCAGAGGTCGGGTTCGAACCACGGACCTTCTGGTTAGTAAATTCGCGCTCTACCATTGAGCAATCTCGTCTCCACAGAGAAATGAGACGGAAGTTGTGTCTGTAGACGGAAATCCTATCTGGAATATGCATGCCACACATTTCTCGTCTTCGAAGAGGAAAATAAAGCATGAACCGAAGTCTGACGAAAGTCATCCCATCCCCTACCATGCATTTGCACCCACAAAGTGTAAGATTATGCTCACAGAGATGCAGTCGTTGATCGAGTCAATGACAACTCAAGGAGAGGGGCTCAAGGATATGAAGCAATCCCGATATCTTGGAAGTTGTATAAGTTCCGAGTGTTGTGTGAAAAATGATATCAAGGCCCTGGTTTGACACACGTACGGTGGAAAAGTGGCATAACTCTGAATCTCCAAGGGTACGAGCTGTTTTGCTGTATACATGGGAGGCACGGTCTGTGTGAGCGGAGGAATTGAGACGTCTTCAGGTTTATGATGACTGTTCCATCAGAACCATAGCTCGTGTAGGCTGGTGCCGGCGGATTCACGAGACACATAGAAGGCGCGTCAGTTGTGCAACGGGGGATCCAGTCGGAGAATATTTGAACATCAAAGGCTGTGAAGGTTAGGTCATGCACTGCGGATACCAAAGTACCGTTCGCCGCAACCAGAGAGGTAGTCCACCTATCACCCGGGCATAGAGTCATGAAACAGATCAAGAAAGGTCTGAGTGCTGCCGGTAAAACTAGACGTCCAGGACATGGTCCGCGTGAACCATCCTGCGCATGGTTGAAGGGACTGCAAAGTATGGCTTTTAACCCATTTCAATGGTGTTCTTTTTGTCAGTTCCTACCCACCATCTTGAGCATTTATGTTAAGGTGGATAGAAACTGACATGAACGTAACTGACATCGATTGGTATGCATATTTTACACCGTCTCTAAACACACACACAGGAGAGAGCACGCAGACCCCATCGTGGATAGCTACTTGCACGGACAGTATTTCATGATCAGTTTAATGACCCCTTGCCAGGTCAAAGGTCGACAACCTCTTCCTATCAAGATTGCCTGAATGAGTGTCTGGAGGTGTAGGCACCTGGAGATGATTGTGATTGGCTTGCATTAAGTCCCCCCGACCTACTTTTATTCTTTTCTCCGAAATATGGCTTTCAAATAAATTATGGTTATACGACAGCAAAGCATCAGTGCTGAACAACGATGTGTTCCTGACGATGGTGAGATAATTTCACCAACATCCGATCGACGGCGTCCAATAAACTTAGGATATCCAGGAAGTGAATAACGGTGGGGCCTTGGTTAGGTTGGGGGCTAAACAGATGGGTACACCACAAGGTGCAGCACCTTATAAACCAGAATGAGGTACCCCGTTCTCGACGATAGGTAGATGAGGAAAAACCCAGTCGTACGCAACTTTGTGGGTATCCTTGTCAGTGAAGAAATGCCAGTCGTTGAATCTGTTCTAGAGCCCCAGATTGTGCACAGATTGGTTGTCGGTGTGGCGTACACAAGGGGTGGCCGAACGTAGTTCGCGAGGATACTGGCGAGTTTCTCAGTACATGCGTGAAATCCACCCCTGAAAATCCAGATTAGCGAAGGACTGTCGTGTTGCACTCAGTCTTCGCTTCCGATTGAAGAATGACATCTAAGAAACGAGCAGAAATAATGCCTCTTCCACAGTCAACCGATGCCAAAGGACAGTTGCATCACTCTTTCAAGATTAGTGGAAAGTACACCTCGATGGCGTACATATAATTCTTAGTACCCACGCCGTCACGAAGAGACTGGACCTTACCGTGGTGTGATGGTTTGCGCACCTCAGCGATCCATTGAGCTATACTGGAGAGTGCCCCGCGACACTCACAGAGTCTCTCATACCAGGTTGGTCAATGGTTAGAGGTCTGACGAACACAGTCTCCTGGCCCTCCAGGTTGGGGGTTGGAACATGCGGCGACTTGTTCCGTAGAAATGGTAATGCATTTGCATTTCCCGCCAAACACCGCTGCCTTGCGGTTAGGCTTTTGAGCCAAAGGCTTTGGTTGAGGACCCTAATCGTCCTCCTGTCTAGGTGTGGGCGCCCTGGCAGTATCCCAGCCCACGTACAACCATGAATTGCACATACACAAATAAATTCATGCCACATCGGCCGTCGCGTGGTGCCATCAGCCGGGTCGCCTTACT